CGATTTGTATGCACTTAGATATCACAACAGAATGAAGGGCCTGTGTAACAATCTTGACACATAAATAAATATTATTATGAGGTAAATTTAAGTGAATAAGCACAACCACTGTCTGGTAGCTGCTGACACAAAAACTGTCTGACGTAAAGGTCTGAAATATGAGGAATGACAAAAAAACAGTTAGAATGAAAAGACAAACAAAATGAGTAAGTATACCTCAATTGAAAACAGGATGGCAGCGAACGTGTGAATGAGTACAATAATTTGTTAAGACATAGAGTATTTACTATGTAAAGAGATTCCCTAGTGTATGAGAGTAAGATTCAAAGATATCAATGTGGCTCTGTTAATATCTGGACGGCCTTTAGTAGATTTGTCATCCTTATAGATCAGCTGAAGACGATTCGAATTTTAGTTCTGTACGATGCCACTAGGTTTGTTTTCATGTTTTCAATTTGTTATATGTTATTTAAGTTATTTAAAACGTCGTTTGATCAATTGAAACGATATAATCATAAACAATATTTCTTCCCCTAGTTGTATTAAAATCAAACAGTAAAGCACAAATCATGAACTCTAAAATAATAGAAACTAAATTTCATTGATACTAGCAATCAGTGTTACCAACATGAACTGAATACGAAAAACGAGCTTCAAAATTGGCAATGGAACGAGAAGACTACTTGTGTTGGTTAGTCCAGGGGTGCCCACAAGGGGGGGCCATGACGCAGACTGCGTCATTGAAATTTTAGGGGGGGGTTGCAAAAATTCAAATGGGGGGGGGCTAAAGTTAATTGAAACAGTGTTTAACGTGACGACAATCAAAAATATATTACGAAATTTCTAGATGGAAAGTAGATTAATTAATAACAATATTTATATTATTGAATTCAATTAGTTAAAATAGGATTTTAGGATAGTTTAGGATTCATGTAGGAAGTTATTATTCAAGATTATCAAGACGTGAGATCTAAGAGGGAGCGCACGGGATGACTCAACTGCTGTGATAGATAAAAGATTACGTGTGACAGACACGTCCAGCTACACCGCGACTCAGCACAGAACGCTTTGTTGACATAAAGCTCATTAAAATACAAACAAGTAGCATAGGCTACAATACTTTACACTATTGTGTAGATACTCAATTACCTGAGTTAATAGGGAGGGGGGGTAATGAAAAATACGGTTGATCCAATATAGTATAAAAAGAGATGACAAACCCATTAAAACGCTGTAAACAGCCATTAACGTGACGATTTGCATTTTTGTATACGAAATTCAATATTGCACAATCATTATTTATTGTGCAATTACATTATTATTATACATTTAAAATCATTTATTTTGGTTCAGTGTTCAGTTGTACAAACGGCAACGTTTAAAATTATAGCTAACTCAAACTCAACCAATAATAACTAGCCAAACACGGCATTGCTATAGATAACGTAAATATTAAAGGAACCTTTAGAAAGTGTTATAAGCTACTGCTCAAGATAGACAGATAGGCTACCGATAGGTGCTGTATCACAGCATATAGGAATTGATAGATAAGTTAAAAAAAAGTGTAAAATTATATTTAGAGATAATAAAAAACCATTTAAAAAAGAATGTAACTAGAACAATCTTGTTATTCTTTTTCTTTGTTCTTCTGTTCTTTATTAGGTTTCTCTTCAATTCATACACAAATTCAACAAGTCGCCATATTTTTAGGCCTACTCATTGCCCAATCACAACCTTACTAAAGTTACCATGGTTACTAATCACTCAATCACTAAGCATTATATCGTCATCATTCCCCAGCTGTTGTATCTGAAATCTGTTATAACATAGCGCACAGCAGACAGAAGTGTAAAACGGAGCAGACGATTGTTGGCGCAAGCGTTGTTTCCATTTCATTTTCATCAAAATTTGATGAGCTGTGATGTTTCCAAAGGGAGGGAGAGGGGGTCGTTATATCAAGAGAAAGACGCTGACAATTCGTTAAGCAGATTTTACAAACGCTATATAGATATTCTGGCAATTAAAAATTCCTTAAATTGAGGTGACCTATAAAGCTCTAATTTTTTTATATAGAAAGATAAGTTTTCCAGTCCTGTACAACACTGATTCACGGTCTTTTCCAGGTAATCAAAATTCAAGTACAACTTGATACACACAGAATCTCCGGTTCCCGACCTGGATGATAGCTAGTTATTTAATTTAATTTACAGTTACATATTACCCGTGATAAATCAAACCCGTTATGCAAGCCAAAGCCACACGGTTATTAATCTCACTTATGGTTTTGAATTTGCTTACAAACGTGATCAGAAATGGTTAGGGCCTACACAGTATTTGTAAACAACAATTGGGTTTTTGATCGTCCGTTATTTTATTTACAAAATAGTGAGGCCATATTTTAATGGCTAAGGACACTCTCGCCAATCCTGTGAATACAATTAAACCATTAGAATCATAATCGGTACTCTAGTTTTTTTAGAGTAGACTGCGTAAGATGCCTTCCGGGCCATGGCAGCCGAACATAAATTGAGATAACGTAAAATAACCCAAAACGAGCTGTTGGCCCGTCCTACGTACGGGGATCGAGTAGTCCATTAAAATTGTATATAGTGTGTCTATTACTAATTCAAGCATAGTTTAATCAGCTCAAGATTTATAGTAAAGAAAAAGCTGCCAAGATGAATTAAAACATGTTTTCATTGTTATTTTCCCAACTTTTCATAAAAATGTCGAGTAGTAAAATAATTTTCATAAGCTTTCTTTTGAAGATTCGTGAGCTTTGATTAGTATACAGCAATGGTTATAGAATCTTACTTATTTCCTATAATCAATGACAAAATCACAGAGTAAATAAACTAACCTAATAGTTTTATAGAATATTTTTATATCCATCCAGCTGGTAGTTATAACAAATTATATTGCACTAAAACAAACTAAATATTTTAAAGACTGCTCAAAAAATAAATTAGAACATCTAGTATTTTATTATGTGTATTTAAATAAACTCTCATTCTCTTACCGAATAAATGAACGTATCAATGATTAAAGCATTACACATATTAAAAATAAGTCAATTCTACGTATGTCATTTCATTTTCATCCAAAGGCTGAATCTGTGTCGAAAACGCTGAATGTTTACAGCTGTTGCAAATGATATTATGTCAAAAGCTAGAGTAGAATGTTAGCGTCGGCTGCTAGACTTTTTAAAATTTTAAACTAAATTACTAAAAAACTGAAACCCTAAACTAAAATTATGGCTTCGACATTCCCTAGTTCTCAAAATTATCTTTCTTTCAACACAAAAATCATGAAAATTTGTCAAGTGGTTGATTCAGAATCGTGAAATAAAAAAACCCTGTCACTTTTAATATATAAGATATGTATCATTCTGAGCAATGTACAGACAAAACTATAACTTTATTTATATAGATAACTGGGTTTTCAAATAGTGCTGGGCGGGGGAATTATGTTTCTCATTTGTTGTGTACCTCATTTTTTTATGGTGGGGGGGGGGGCTGTCGCTCAATTGGGGGGGGGGGGCGTCATGAGTCTAGGGGGGGATGGGCACCCCTGGTTAGTCTATGATCCAGACAACTACTTCACAGCAGTTTGGACAAATGACAAAAAAATAAGTTAGAAATGCACAGCTGTAAATTAAGACAGTTTTGTTGCCCAATTTACAGTTCTTTTTCAGTTTCATGTATTTCAAAATTCAGAGTACCGTACAGTATTCAAGCAATTTTCTGTTCAAGAAGTTTCACACAAGGGTACCTAAAAAAAGACCTCTAAATACCACTGATTTTCTTCATATTAAATTTTACAGCAAAGCCTAGTTGCTGATTAGGAGTTTTTTTGAAAAGGGATTGAATTCAAATAGCTTACCCAAGAAAATGAGACAGGACATAGCACTAGTCCAAATATAAGACCTCTTCAGGAAGTAGATTGAAGATAAAAGTTATTGTAATGCAATTGTCTATCTATTGTTAGCTCCTCGACTATCATTTTCTCAGATAAACTAGCTGAGCTCTAGTCCTTGATAAAACTGTCTTTATACTAATACAAACAACTTGGATACCCAACAAGACTGGATTAGTAAGGGTTTACTGAGCTCAAATATTTGAGAGCTTTATATAGAAATTTGTTTTCCGTTTCAACAAAGGCTACATTAGTAAACTAAGTTAACGGCTTATAAAGCAGAGCACATGTTTAATGTCCTCCCAATATTCCCTCTGTGTTGGTGTTTAGACCACAAGTAAGGATTGTTGTGGGTAGTTAAGCTATTTCTGCAGACATTTTTCAGTAAGCTCTAGTTGCAGACCCTTAATCAGGATTAGCCATGATGGATTGCAAAGCTTAGCTGTGAATAGCTACCAAACTGTAGTGTCACACTAAACTTTAATTATTTCCTCATTTTTCAAACCCAAGAGGGTTTTAATTTAATTGTGTCTAGCTTGTTGATTTAACCTCAACAGCTTGATTCAAGTCCAAACAATCAACAATTAATTTTTAATTTCTGAAATGCTTTCAATAAGTTTGTTCAAACCATGCTGTACAGTCTAACTTTATTGGAAATGAAATCAGTAGTTCTATTCGCCTAGTAACTGTTAATAACAGAGGTAGGCCTACATGGGTACACTGGTTTCATTTTGCCTCGGAAACAAGTTTTGGACCCTAATAAACTGACAGTTTGCTCACGTGTCACCTGGTATCAAATTATATCATGTATAGTATCTGTACACAATGATATTAATTTATCTGGGTAGTTAAGTTATTATTTGATTCACCTTAACATTTAAGTTTTGCTGGTTTCAAATTGAGCAAAATAGACTCTGGACCCATATTCTATTTGTCATTGAGCAATAAATAATCAATGATATCTAATTAAAGTCGACATACAGTATATATACAGTAGGACAAGGATTTTGAACATTCTCTAAAAAAAACGCAACAAATAGACTAACAATGGCGTAGAAAAACACAAATAAATGTAGTTAACATACCTCGAGTAGCAGGAGGTAGGTTGAGCAAGGTGTTTGAAGGTTGTGTGAGCTGAGTGGAGGTGGTGGCTACATCAGGCATAGACACCGTGGGTCGCAGTGCCGGGGGAGGCCTGTGTAGTGTCCTGGCCGCAGTCACAGTGCCTGTACCTCCTGGACCAATGCTGATCTGCAGATGGGACTGGTAACCCTGGCGGGGGTCGTACGAGCAGCTCGAGTAAGTCAACCCTCCACCCCCGGATCGGATGTCTATGGGCGGCTGAGGGTCGGACGAGGGTGGTCTAAGTGTCAGGTTGACTGAAGTATACGGTCTGGAGGGTTCAGGTAGTCTGTAGTGAGGTGTCGGTTCCACGTCCAATGACGTAGTGTGTCTCACATTCACTGTGACCGGAGGGAGTGGCGGGGGGTTGCTAGGTGTAACAGGGGCCGAGTGCGGAGAACCGTACGACATCACACTCACTCTCGTCCTCTCACAACGACACACATCTTCACTCCCGCACTCCACACCACGCCGCCACTCGTCGCTTATCGACAACCTTGAAAACGCACCAATTTGTTCACCTTCGCGTTTATTCAAGAACTCTTCCGAGTATTGTTTGCACATCCGCCGTGCTCCATGCACACACTGTAGACTGTCCAGAGACTGTCGTCCCATGAGTCTGCGGTCAAAGTCCCACACAGTGTCCTCCAGCGGTAGAGTGTCTGGTCTGCAAGACTCCGCGGCCATCCTAGCCACTCTGCCTCTGTACGCCTGGTCCTCCCTACACAGCACTGCCTCACATGCCTCTCTGTCGTGTGAGTTCTGAAACAAACAGTCAGGTTACAGTTGTATTACCTACCAATAGAAATAGAGAAAGTGTGAGTGAAGAATGGGTGTAGAATGAAGGGAGATGCACTGAGGAGCTTTGTTACTGACTATGACCAGCTGTTTCATTGACCTCAGCTGTGATTAAAAGGACAACTGAGCTGATATGTGTCTGAATAATGGGACTTAAAGTGTTAGTGTACTTAATCAACTTTTAAGATAAGGTGCTTATCCTATCCCATCTTAAATCCTACTAATAATACTATTAGTGAGAATGTTTGGATGTATGGATAGATGAATGTTTGTGACAAGTAAACGCAAAAAATACTAAACCGACATGGTTGAAATTTGTTAAATGATGATAGCTCACATTCCCGATTAACATATAGACGTATTCTTATCTCAAAAATCCTTTCGGGCTCAACCCAAGTGGCTCTGGAGTTTTCCATGTTAACCTTATGAGTATGCATATTATTTTAAAGGAATTAAAGAATTTTGTCAGCTTTTTCGGCTGCACAAGTTGGTTCTATGATATCAAATAGGGTTTAGGTGCAGTGGTAGAACATTATGGCTATGGTAAATGTGCTATACTATAAGCTGGCATCTATCCCACATAGCACCGAATATTTATTTGATATCAAATAGCTATCAAATTTTTGACATTTGAATATCAAATTGATATTCACGAACATTCATTTGATATCAAATAAACGTTCAATTTAGGTTCAAACGTCACTCAATTTTACATCAAATGAATATTCAAATTGAATATAAAATAAATATCAAATTTGACATTCATAAATTTATTGGTAAAATATGATAAAGAGAATATGATTGAATTTACATTCACATTTTAAATATGATGGTGATTAATATTGATATAACATTTTTGACATTCGAATATTAAATTGATATTCGCGAACATTCATTTGATATCAAATAAATGGTCAATTTAGGTTCAACCTCACTTAATTTGATATTAAATAAATATTAAATTGAATATCAAATAAATGTCTAATAAATTTATTGGTAAAATATGTTTAGAAGAATTAGGTTGCATTTTTTCACATTTCAAATTTCATGGCGATTAAAATAATAGCAGTTCAGACCTCTATACAGTTCTTTCCTTGATTCGACTTATTATTCTGAAGTTATAGGTAGTTTGTTAAAGTTCTTGGGTTACCCAAAAATTTAAATATATATATATATATATATCTTATTTGACAAAACATGAATAAAAGTATCACAAAACATATTTGTTTACAACAAAATTGCATTCAAGGAAAACATTTTAAAGATAAAACGTTGTTTGTATAGTAAAATAAGTTTAATTAAAAATTATTTAAATACAAATATAAAAAAGACATGTACTATTTACAAAAAAATAATTCTGGTCTTCTTCATCTCCCAAATGGCCTTCTTGATTTTTCTATTGTTCCTGTAAAAGAGGTTCAACAGAGTTATTTTCTAAGACAACTATAGATAAAATATAATATGTTAGACAAGGGGTCTCCAACCTTTTTTTCCTCGGTGAGCACTTTTTTGTCTAAAAAACGCCACCGATTTAGCGACTAACGTTAATTGTTCGTTACTCTATCGAATCACAACATCATCTACTATCGATGCGATTGTAGTTGTCGTTTGTCACAAGCTAAAGGCTTTTTGTGATACTGACGAAATGAGAGCATTCTATTATAAAATTAAACTGTCATAAGCTAACCTAACTTGCTGAGATTATAAAAAATATATACAAGATAAAAATCGAATGAAGATTAGATTTAACAAGAGCTTAGGTTTGCTGCTATGGAGAAGGTAAAACGTTTTTTTGAGCATACGTCAATAGTAGCCTATAGGATAAAGTAAATAAGTTTGCCAAATTTTATCAAAATCTATCCATAAACAAGTAAACTACATCAGTATCCGTTGTTTAATAATCTAAAATATAGTTCTGTTCATAAAATAAAATTATAAATGCCTCTAATTCTAACAAAAGATGTGCAGTTAAGAAGTAATCGCATTCTAAGCTAAATCTTTGACAAAAAGTGCAATGATTTTTTAGTGAGAATAGGCTATATAATTTGATACTTAAAATGTCAGCTAGTTTAAGATTTCAACTTGTAGTTCTGCCAATTAGGATCAATTAAAAATATGTATATTTAAATTAATCTGCCGCTACTTGACTACTGCTAATATTTCCCTAGGCCTATTGAGAAAAAATTAGCAAGTGAGAGACATTTACTATGTTCCTATTTAAATACGTTAGCCTGCCAACTTGGAGACAGGGAATTGTACACGAATTTTGTTGAATGGGGAAAAGACAGTTAATTGCTCTTAATTATGGTATGAGCCGCGAGGTAAATAAATATCCCATGGCTGAGCCTGCATTCATTGACAACGTTCTCTTTTTACACCTCAAGGAAATCACGGTCAACAATGACGGGTGTTGCTGGGATTGCAAAAGACAATCACGGCACCGTCGAGACTGCAGTATAATATGCTCATGAGTCTTGGCGAAATCACGGGAGATGATCACGGTATAGCTGAGACCACCTGACCACACGTGTTTACGCAATCGTGGGAGAATATCATTGGTGTTTGCTATAAAAAATAATTTTCAAAAATGTATGCTGGCTTTCTGCTGGCTGGAATAAAACTGCACGAGGGCCGGATGTAGCCCCCAGGCTGTAGGTTGGAGACCCCTTGGTTAGACACTTTTAAGACCTATTTTTTTACTATAACTGTACTTTATAATTAAATTTGTCGATAAGGCATTGAGTTCTTGACAATAAAGAAAAAAGAGATGGATAAAACCGCAAATTAAGTTTTGCTCATTTGCATAGCCTGTCACTGAAAATTCACAATTGGAAAAGAAAACATCACAGTAGTTAGATGTAGGCCTACTCTGTTAATTATGATAAAATTTAAGTTCTATATTAGGTAAATAGATAAGCAATCTTTTCTTTAACCTAAATTATAAATAACACAATAAATTTACCTTGCATCAATCCTAAACTTTGCTGGGCGAAGCCAATTCTTGATTATAGTAGCAACAACATATATTTCCATTACACCACGATCCTAGTGTTCTTGCGTACCGGTACTGCCTCTGTATAATAAGAGATTAGTATTAGCACTAGAATTTGTATATTTTCATTTTCCTGATCAACACCCAGGATAGCCTACAACTAGGTACACATATTAAATTGTTAGTGAAATCAATTTTATATTTTGATGGTCTTTGCTTCTTTTGAGTAGCCTGTTAAAGCTAAATCTAAATCTGAAAATTGAAAATTTTGACCTAGGTAGTGGTAAAAGTAATCCTCAGTCACTTAAACGGACAAATATTGGGGTGAGCACTGACTGAAATGAGTGCAACGGTCGGATGTAGTTTGGTGTGTGTATAGCCTTATGTCAAGGCCACACTAAAAAAACAGGCCGTAATGCTCATCTAGCATGACGTCACGATAGAAGACGGCAATGACGTATTTTTGCCGTTTGTGATCAGCTGCTTGTTTGAATCTTTTCATGGAAAACAAAAATATAACCTTAATTACGTCATTGCCGTCTTCTATCGTGACGTCATGATTGACGAGCATTACGGCCTGTTTTTTTTTAGTGTGGCCTTGCCTATGTGTGCGTTTAAAAAAATTCAACTAATACAGTTTTCTTTTACATAAGTTAGCACTGCCGGAATATTTATATAGTGTAAATCAAAGACTTCCTATATAAGTGGGTCACAAAAAAGAAAAACTCTCTTAACTGTGTGATGAACCTTAGGCTACGTTAATACCCAATAGGTACCTATCATGAATTAAGTTGTGTTTTGGCGGTAGGGCCTAACTTACCTACAGTTCCTAAGAGAACCTGTGATATATTATCGGACGGTATATATATCCGATTCGATTTTAATATTACAAAACCAGATCACCAAATCTGCAAATCATAACTCAATTTGATGTTTACATAGTGAAAAAACATAGGGAACGGTGTATTGAATCAAATAATTATTGAATGTTATTCATCTGATAATATATCGCAGGTTCTCTGCGGAACTGTAACCTTTATGGCGAAAAAGAAATACTTAAAAATCCCCAACATCACATAATACAAGGTCACAGCAAGAAATTTTATGGCGAATCAAACAGAAAAATTGAAATAAAAACACCTAAGATTGTAACTTTGTAGTACCTACTGTAGGTATAACTTATTTTAACTTGAGAAAACCTAATTGAAATATATGTAAGTCTACCTATTATTAATGTCTGATTGTAAATAAACAAAAAAAACTTACGCAAGATAGCTGGCTTCAGATGCAGATTGCAAAAGAAAAATTTATTCCTCCTTCCCAGCCTACAGGCTGCTAGACAGCCACTTTGTCACTCGGGAGAATTGGTAGGTAAATTATTCACTGCTACCAAATAATAACTTCCACCAAAGCTGCAGGGTTATCAACTGAAACAATGGAGGGAAAACTACTTTTAGTTAAATTCATGCATACCTTTCTCTGACCAAAATATGTATCAAGATTAGTTAGGCCTAATCTTTGGTTGGTAAAGGAAGCAGACAACAACTAAAATACAAAAGACTACAAGAGACAATACAGGGGTAGACTTTCGTATCTGTTGTCAAAAACAACCGAATGAAAATATCGATCGTTATATATTCATTCAGTTGTTTTTGACAACAGATACGTGTACCCCAATTCAGTTTAAAATGAAAATGGATTTCAAATAGGCTAGGCTATTTATTTTATAATACCGGTAATTGTAACCTGGTTGAGGTAGAATAAGTTAGGCCTAGGCTAAGGCTAGCCTAAATTAAGTTAACTTATTCTTGATGGTGAATTTACCTAAACTTAAGTTAGTGACTGACGTAAAATATAACCCACATAACTTAGTAATATTTCAAAATTAACAAGGTATTACAACACAGTATGGTATTCCATTTGCCTTGTAAACCAGTAAGTTAGTCCTACTTAGGCCTACTAGCCTTGAACA